CCTACACAGATTGACAAAAGAATGAGAATGCAGAAAAATCATGCCATGTACTCTCATTAAAAGAGTTGGTGTGCTAAGCATCACCAAGCATTTGGACTGTGATTTAGAATAGTTCAGGGAGTTGTTGTGATTGAGTTGTAAGGATTGTAGGCCCAAGGGCTTGATTAATCAGATAAAGCGCTCTTAAAAATATTGTATAGAGATTCTGTTCCTCTGGCTTTTCCTGCTCATCAGAATAATGTAGAAAATTAACTGAATCTATAACTCATTATCATGTGGAAACCTAACGTCAACTGTCAAATGTTAATTTCAACACAAGCAGGAAGGGGTTATCATGTCGTTAATGCTGTCGATGCCTCAGAGTATCCACCAGCACATTCACATCTGCTGTGATCACTACAGTCTCTGAGACAGCCAAGCCCTGGACCTACTTTACAGCAGGAGGCCATGTTAATAGGGCCTCCCACTGCTGAAGAAAACCAGCCCAGCCCTGACCCTGCGGCTGTGCAGAGGAGCCCAGCCCTGGATGCCCAGCTGTTCCCACTTGGTGAATAGGCTTGAAAACAGACAGCTCACCCTGCAGCTGGCACTGGGCTGGGTTTGCTGTTTCAAAAGGTGACTTATGGAGAACAAGAGATACTGAGTGTGAGTGGACATGAGTGGAATAAACAGTGAACATATTTTACAGCTTCATAAGCAAAATTCTTCTGTGTTTACAGGTGTCCCGTGTGAGGTGCAGTTGGTGGAGTCAGGGGAGGCTTGGTGCACCCTGGTGGGTCCCTTGCCTGAAACTCTCCTGTGCGGCCTCAGGATTCACCATCTGTAATTACCGCATGAGCTGGGTCTGCCAGGCTCCGAGAAAGGGGCAGGAGTGGACATAGACATTAATTGTGATGGTGGTAGCACGTAGTAAGTGGACTCTGTGAAGGTCCGATTCACCGTCTCTAGAGACAAAGGTGAGAACATGCTGTTTGTGAAAATGAGCAGCCTGAGAACCAAGGACACGTCCGTGTATTACTGTGCAAGAGACAGAGTTAGGGGACCTCAGTGCGAGCCCGGACATGAACATCCCCGCAGGGGTGCACACACCAGGCAGGGGAAGCTCAAGACACACAGTACATTGACAGTACTGTACCATCGAAGGGAATAATAAAGGGTGGAGAGAAGAGGACAAGGGGCTGGGTCTCTTCAATAAGGAAGTGGTCCAAGGGCAAGGGGCCAGGAGGAGGGGAAAGGGACATAAGTAGAATAAAGTTATGTCATGTTTAAGAACATTGTAATTTCAATTAATGTGAACATTATATGCCATAGGATGAGCTAAGGAAAATTAAAAATGGCAACAAGAATGAAAAATGGAACAGTGAAATTGGAGGAGGGCAAAGAGAGGGGGAGCGAAGCAGAAGGGGATTTAGAAAAGGAAACAAGCTGTAATGTGTGAATGGAACCGTTCCCCGAGATGATTATAAAGTGCATGAACTTCAATATGCAGTCATAAAATTTAAAAAATTAATAAAACGAGGCAAAACGATGTTTCCTGTCAGGATCTGGGCCTTCTCAATATCACACTTGTCCCTGATACTTCCACTGCATGGCTCTACCCTTACCTCGACGTCTCAGGCATGGTTTGGTTGTTGCTGTTGCTTGGATAGGAGAACATATCCTCATTTGTGCAGAGCTCAGGATAACTTGTGTGAGAATGACTCTGCTGTGTTCATCTGGCCCAGATCCTGGCCCGGGTCTGGGGAAGCTGTTAAAGGGTAAATAAAAGTCAAAATCTAGAGTGAGGAGAAGTCAGTGTGAGCACAGGCACAAATCTCCCTTCGGGGTGATCAGGGACCACACCACACTCTT